AAATATAATCAATTTTGTAAGTTTTTGCTTCTTCTTCTTTCCTTTATTAAACTTCGGTCTCTGTTCCGCAATCTAGTGCCAAACACCGACGGACATCGATTGCCATCCATTGACGGCAATCGAATGTGCAGGAAGGCAGCTTCCACACCTGCGTAGAATATCGCACCCATTCAGTCAACACACATGGGCCGGGACCAACGGCTTTACTTGCGTGACCAGAGATTTGTATGCCTCAGAATAATCCCACCAACCTCGGCTGGGATTGAACCCAGACCCATTGGGGTGTTAGAAAGCAGTCACGCTTACCACTACACCACCAGCGCCGGCTGTAAGTTTTTGCGGATAGAATTCTTAATGTTTTCAAAGTTTAAAAATCGATGCACAATTTTATCATGATATTGCGATGATTGTTTACTGAACCCTGCTTAATAAAAAGTCCTGATAGTTTCAAAAAACATGTTGATGAATGCTGTGGATTTAGGATTCTATTTTCAAACCGTTCGTAATATCTTCCAACGTTGAAATATTTGTGGTGATTATTGAGTATTTTCAGTTAAGTTTCAGAAGTCTTGCATGTCAGAGAATACACAAGAACACAAGAATAGAGAAACACAGGATAGTAAGCTTTTGTTTATTCATACGGCCCATGACAAGCCTTTATCGCACCACTATGATCAAAAAAGAAAAATCTGTAGGCTGATTATATTCAAGAGCAAAATAAAATAGAAGACAGCAAAGTATTTTTTTTGTCATTTGATTATTTAAGAAAATGAACCTAAATCAATTTCAATTTGGTTTCAATTTGTTTGAATTATTTTTTTTCACCACGAACATAATAAATTCGCTCTTATCATATAGCATTCTTGCCTGTTGTTTGACATCCACACATGGAGAAACAAAAAGTTGGATTCCCATAGAGAAATATCATTGCGGCGGTGACGGACAATCCCTTTGTTTACGTTCTGTGGCGACATCTACTATTTGCAAGTGGGTACGTGAAACTAAGGTTATCTGTCACCTTGCCGGGGACTTGCCTTTTTGTGAATCTTTCAATGGATAGGCCCTTTTTGTTAAGCCGTTGTGCTTGTCATCACGAATGGCACGCCCTTTGCTAAGCCATTTTGCAACGTCAAATAAATTCAAAACAAATCATCGGCCCTGCCTCAATCAGTAGGGCCTGGCTTTGATTTGAAAATTTTCAATCTAGGTTTACTGATATCTAAGATACCATAGCGGTGCCGGTGATGTACTGGTAAGCGTGATTACCTCTCACTCCAGCAGGCCTGGGTTCAATCCCAGTCGGCAACGCCGGGATGTTCTGAGGCATAACATCTCTGATCACGCCTTCCTTCGGAAGGGAAGTAAAGCCGTTGGTCCCCGGTTCATGAGTTGATGGGTTGATAGGTAGAATCCAGGTGTAGCAGTTGCCTTCCTGGCGTCGGTAGCATTAGTGCTCAGCACGGAAAACAAGATCGACGGAAAACAAATCAAGGAGAAAAAAATCTAAGATACCATAAAATATTTAAAAATACTTAAGAATTATTTAGCGCTAGTTTTTTTTTTATATATATATTGTCATTTTAACACACTTGGGTCATTCGTGACTTGTCCGGGGGTGAGATTTGAACTCGTGATTTTGACGTGAGAGGTATGGATGTTAACCGCTACGCCGGGGTCGCTTACAGCACTAGTTTGTTACCTCCGTTGCTAGACAGATTTCATTTGATTATTTACACGGTGTCATCTGGGATTTTGTGTGTACGTATTTAGAAAAATCAACTATTATTTTTCATTTAAGTCCGTTTAGTAGGAATCGAAGAGGAGACCATTTTGATCCAAGGAATATTAGGGTTTTTGATCTAATTTTCGTTCTACTAAGCGCAGCGCGCACTTTACCTCTCTTTTTTGAACGAGTTTGAACTAAAAATTGAATATTTTTGTCAAAGATGTATTCTAAATTTATTCACCTTTTAATACGTAGCGTTGGATTTGATAAAGAGTCACAAATAGTTGAGATATTGTTTAAAATCTAATACTGCTTCTTGATTCTAAATTCGTTCTACGAGTTTCAATTCCGTCCTAACGCATTGAAACGCCATTAGATTTTCTAAAATTTTAGAAAATTAGATTAGATAAACGTAGAAAAAGGGGATTCGCTAGGAGCGCTTCTTTTGTTTTGAGATCAATGAGTGTAAATATTCATACAATGCCGTCTAACAGGATTTATGTTGTTGCTTATGAACTAACGCATCGGAACAAACCTATCATGGATTTGTGCACGGTTAAATCATTGATATTATTGATCTTTTCTGATCAATAGAACGGAAATGTGCGATTAGGACGATGTAGTGCTCTACCCTACATTGCCAAATCGATTCACCTGTCATTCAGAGGGAGAATAAGGAATTATTTGGAAAGTTAGTGTGGAAGAAACTGCGTGTGGAAGCAAATCCTCTGAACAAATGTTTCTATCCCAAAACCATCTTTCGATAAAGATGGATTTTTCATCCATTTGGACCTTTACCGTTGGAGATAACTTCAGGAATTAACGCTGCTTGAAGCTGAATAAGAAGTTGTGAAAGCGTTCCGTACCATCCGCACATCTCCTATATTGCCACTGAATGAGTTTATTGTAGAAGTGAATCACTTTTGCTCGGATTTGGAACCTTCGAGGCTCATATGCTTACGGCTTATTATTAAGGTTCAATTTACTTTGGTGCATTTTTTAAAAATTCAAAAGCATTTTTTTTTCGACGCATTATTTTAGATTGCAAAAAGTTTGCGTCATTTTGTATAAAATATCAAAAGGAATCGAATAGTGCGAGCTTTTTGCAATCTGAAATAATGCGTCGGAAAACTGCTTTTGTAATTTTCCAAAAAGCATCAAAGTAAATTGGGCCTTAAGGCTGAACATGATCGAACCAACATATCTGGTTTGTTCTAATCTCGGAGCCGCTCTCTCATTGATTCTATCGTTCATCAGAATCGGTTATGTGTTAAAACATTAATATGAACTGTTTGGGGAATGGTTTGAAGAAAATTCATATATTTTAACTAAAGATTATTTTACAGAAAATGTGAACAAATTAGTAGCACGTTTCAACTAAATCGTTTTATTTGGTATATCAATGGTGTGAAATAAATTAATATATCCGAACAGATTAATATTTTCCTTCTTATCACTGGTTTCGAAGCCTAGAAGTAAGGATTTCATGTTGATTTCACATAAAACTTTCGGCTGCTATCAGGATACTCACTGGGGAGTTGTCACCAGTCCGTCGTAACTCATCTTTACTAATGTAAGTTTGTCAAAACGTGGCACGATACGACCATCAGTGGCATTTGCATTCTGTTCTCGAGTCCACCAACCCAACGAATTGCTGGCAGTTATGTTTCATTGTATTGCTATTGCTCTCTGGCAAATAATTAGCGTAGCCCTGGCATCTTTGACCTGCTTATAGTCAAGAATTTGCTAGTCATGCATCTTTCGGAATTCTTAACCAAAATGATATCCAACATACGCTTTTATTTTGGCAGTTCAGTTTGGAATCTGGTTGCGTTGCGACTCTGGACGACAACGGCACCATTAACCTCCAGCTAAGCAATAGAATTCAAAAGTTTGATATAGCACTGAACAGCCAGTTCGAAATCATAAATTAGTTGTGTCCTGTCCCTGCTCTAACTGGTTCGCCGAATTAAAACTCTTTGTTGATGAACTACTAAATTTAATTTAAAATAGATTGAAACTAGTATTAATATGCTTTAGTACGTGATTTTAAATAAAATTTTGACGGAATATCCAGTTTTTTACGATCGCTTATGGCCGCCACAATCTGGCTGAGTTTCTGGTAGGGAACATAAGATTTGAAGTTTGGCTTGTGTCGTTTGACGTGTAAACGTTCAAATTTGAACGTTTACACGTCAAACGACACAACCTAAACGTCAAATCATATGTTCCCTACCAAAAACTCAGTCAGATTGTGGCGGCCATAAGCGCTCGTAAAATGCTGGATACAACAACAAACAACTGCATTAGTAACCGGTCACTACGATTTAAAACATCCAAAATTGAAAATACTTAAAAATATTTAAAAAATACTTATCAGATACATGGAAATATTTAATTGATATAGTTTAGAGTGTTATGCCCCTAGGTTTGGAGCTCGTACCACCTACGACATTGTGCAACCTGGTTTAAGCTATGCTATGTTTTTGACATTATCAATGCAAAGGTAGCTAAGACCGATTTTTTTTTACCGAAATAGTTCAACTTATTCTCACCTTTGAAAATATAGCACTGCTGTTTTTCTGTTGCCTTCTTTTCGATGAAGTTGAGGGGTCTGGTAAAAGTTAATACCAAGCACTCGGCTGTCCAAATCTCGGCAACAAAATTGCCGTGCCGTTGAAAACAATACTAAGTGTGTGGATCTATTTTTTTTTCAAGGTCAAGATTCCTATATTTTCTAAGTCCAAATTCTCAGTATTCAAAAGTTTGCCTAGTGACCATTCAACTCAGTAGCGTTTTTGGCCTTGAAACAATGTACACGATTCTGTTAGTCAGACAATTCGTAAAAATGTACTAGGGTTTGGTTTTGTTTCGAGATTTCGGTCATAAACACATTATCCTAATTCTGGGGCTTTTGCTTCGACATTGATGATCAAAGAACTTTAAATAATCTGAAAAATATCGATCCTGATATTTCACTGCTAGCTACATTCATGAAACCTTGAAAATTGCCATGCACTATCATCGCATGTACCAAGAAACTGCAACGCCACAAAGCTGAAATCCCACATTCCATCCTCATAACCTCCAAGCAGCAAAACATACTAACCTCATTTCCCTAATCTATCCCAATTCAAACCCGTCTATCCTAGCCCAACCAATAAACTAATCTCTTTAAATTACGGTACTTGCATTTCCCGCATGCGCGGGCTCGGCTCTAACCAACAACAACCACCATCATAATCATCAACATCATCATCATCATCATCATCAGGTGGAGAACTCGTTATCAACATATGAACCTCATGCCTGCGTCGTCGTTTACTCGATCGTGGACCGAAACTCGTTCCGGGTCGCCGAGGAGATCCTCAACTATCTGTGGCAGGAAAAGTACACCAAGGAAAAGGCGGTCATCATCGCGGCCAACAAGTCCGATCTGGCCCGATCCCGGGTGATCAACACCTCCGGTAGGTCCAAATAAAGCTAAAGTCGTTACTTATGCTAGCTCATGTTACTTGCATAAATAATTCAACACGCCGCCGCCACCGTCGACGGGCGCACGTTTCTGTTGGTTCTTATTTGTTTCACCGTTAATGTGTCAATTGCAGAGGGTAAACAGTTAGCCACCTCGCGGGACGCGAAATTCATTGAAACGTCCAGCGGAATCCAGCATAACGTGGACGAACTGCTCGTAGGTGTGCTGAAACAGGTGAGTCGAAAGATCCAATGGAGTAGAGGAGGCTATCCGTGGGGAATGCAAATTGAATTGAACCGGCATGCAGCCGGGATGGTCTACTTTTCTCTGTCGGCATTTGCCGCATTGACCGGTACCCGTTTTGTTTGAATGTTAACTTCTTCTTCTTATTCTTCTTCTTCTGTCTGTTTTGGTTTAGATTCGACTCAAGGAACAACGTGAGAAGCGGGCCAGCGCCACCAACCTGCGCAATTCGCGCACCCAGATGTCGCTGCACATTGCCAAGGAAATTTTGCACAAAATCTGTCTCACCGACATAACCAAATCGAAAAGCTGTGAAAATCTGCACGTACTCTAAAGGCAAGAAGCAGAAGAAAATATATACGGAAACCACGGAAAACAGAAGCAGGGTAAACTGAAAGTGAAAATCCACGTATAGGTGTTACCTAATATCAGACTTCCTCAGACTCACCTCTCAAGACTTTTGCAAGCTCATTGCCAAACCAACAGTAGCAGCAGCAGCAGCAGCAGTAACAGCGTGTGTTGTAGTTAAAATCGCGTACATTGTGTATCTACTCTTAATTAATTGATCCCAACGTGGAAGTAAAGCAAACAGGTAAACCTCCAACCTCCAATCTCCAGAGCAGGAACAATGTGAATGTATAAACCTAGTTAGACTTACCCCAATTGAGAGAGGGTTTTTTTGTGAGCGACACACGTGCATATGTGAAGAAGGAAGATAGACCAGCGAGAAACGGAGTCGTAAACCTACATTCGTGCATTCAGCCTATGAGGTTAAACCAGTACACTGGTGTTCGAAATTGATGCTCACTCGCGGTTTTTGGAGATGTTTCTCTACTCTACAACTCTATTTAATTATGTGCCGGAGATATGGCCAATGAGATTTTATTTGAAACACAATTTTCCAACCGGCGTGGATGCTCTGTACGATGGGAAAAGCACAATTTTAAACACCAGTGTAAAACCAAAACACGCATCAAACATCCATACAGGAGAGCACAAGCGATTAGTTCGCATCATAGGAAGACATCCGAGAAAGCGAGATTTAAAAGAACAACATAAACACAATACACTTCTCCCTAGACATCACGCATGAAAATGAAAGGCCCCTTCACTACGCTCGATAAACCTAGCTGCTCGAACTCGAACTTTAAACCCCTCACTCTTTTCGACGGAATCCCCCTCTAACCCACAAACCCGACAACCTGCGCCCACCAAAAGTGTGCCAAACTTGACCTCTCACTTCGATAGCCCCTGGAATAACCTGTTGGTTGTCGTCGTCACGACTCTATTTAAAAAAAAAGTGTTCCCTTGACATTCACCTCCGAACAGCTGCGTCAAAAACCGACTCCTTGATTGTGTGTTCCATTTCCCCCAATTACTGCCCCCTTCCACAATTCCTAAATATATGGACAGCATTGCGCGACAACAGTGGAACTTTCTTTGAACCACCACCCCGAGGGCAATTGAGAGAAAAATGTCTATGCTTAAACCAATTGACGACCGAGGGGGGGGGGGGGGAGAGAGAGAGAGAGAGAGATTCAGCGACGACACCAAACGGGAAGGAAGATTTTAAATTGGGCTCACGTTTTTCCGGTAAAAAAAAGTACGTGACAAATATTATTTTCACGCCGCCGCATGCGACAAACGAACTTACGCACTCGCCAGTTTGCCGGTTTGGAATTGTTTTTAGGCGCCCATTTTCTGTGAGTAATGAAGTTTGTCAAGAACTTGTTCAGTAAAAAGTGGAAAAGTTAGTTACTGACCGGGCGGGGCTTTTGTTTTTCCATGAATGGAGCTAAGGTTAGGAGGCTTCGGCTGGAAAATGATCAAGACGATAAACGCGTGTCGGAAATCGGAATTTCTGGGAATTTGAGGATGATATTTATTTATTTTTTTTTTTCGTTATTTACAAGAAAAGGAAAAACTGTTGGCTTTCAGCCATTGGCTGGTTCGCCTTGGGAAAAAGAGGATGATATTGATCTTGTCTTGTCTATTACTTAGAAAGCAAAGGTATGGCCTAGAACAGTGTCGCTAGCCGCAAATCGAGAAACAGCTAATGGCGCTTCCCGAGAATCGGGAAATATGCTGATCCACTCGGCAAATGAGAACGACCCAGATTTTCCTGTGGAAAACCTCGAAAATCAGCAGGAAAATGAAGAAAATCTCTTGGCTTAAATTGTACTCAGTCTAGGAGTAGTAGCAATAGACGGAGTGAATCCAATCTTTACTTTCCTTTTTGGACAAACCTGAAAAAAACATGAGGCAAATTTACTCATCGGTGAGTTCCTGCACTTTATGTGATTTATGAGTTAACTAAACTCAAATTTGGGTTGTTCCGGAAAATTCTTCTGACTTTCTCTAGAAGTTTCTTCCGAACTACCGTAGGAACACAGACAAACAGACATAACACTCGCAAGTTGTTCATCGAACAAGCATTTAACGGTCAATTTAAAAGTATCGTAGTTGGTAGCACCGCCACCTGTGGCGCGCATAGTCATTTCCCTTGAGTTTGACGTTTTCACACTACCGCCATCTGTTCAGCGTACTACCCACCACAGTGTACTCAACAGATGGCGGTAATGTTTTAGCGACGATGTTTTACAGTGAGAAATATTCAATGTGTTATGTCTGTTTGTCTGTGGTAGGAAGTTTCTTCAAATTTCCACACGCAGTATTTTACGATTTCTTCTGCAAGGTTTTCGTGATTCCCTACGGCGATTTTTTGCGTAGGACTACGTCTGTGATTTCTATATGGGTGTACACTTTGTGAAAACCAAAAATGGAACATGTAACGAAATTATGAAAGATTTTGAACGTTAATAACTCAGCTGTCCCTGGACCAATTTCAATAACTTAATCATCAATCGATCTGGAATATTTCTACGCATCGATAGCAATTATTTTGACTGTTGATTTTTAACAAGATACTATTGAAAAAAAGTTAAATACCAAGCATTGTCCAAAAGCGTCTAAATAACTAACAAATCCACCAAGTACGTACATAGTCATAGTCATAGTTGTAATCTTGTAACCAAACTTAGAAGCAGGGATACAAGTGATTTTGATCGATTATCTTCATCGACACTCTGTTTCGTTAATAACTCGACGGCAAACACAATCATTGAAACGTTTGTTGTTCTGGATGATAGAAGAGCATAGCAGAAATAGTGTGAAATAGGTTAGTGAAACCATGGTCAAAAAAAGAGGAAATCGATGAATAGAATTGACTTTCACCCCTCTGCTTCTAAGCCCGTTAATTCAGTTGTCGTCATAGCAATGAAAACTAGCATCGCACCGCTTCTGGTTCTTGGGTTACACTTGCTCGTTGCAATTCTGCTGTTCGACATTTTCGAAGGACCACCAAACAACATGAAATTATACTATTTTCTATTACACGGCTTCAGACAGAGCTACATACTCCGCCTCCATTGTTGACATCGTCACGCAACTCTGCTTCCAGCTGGTCCAACAAATAGTTGCTCCTCCTATACGGAACAAGTATCCACTGCAGGACTTTCTATCAAAAGTATCTCTCGCCCAGTCAGCGTCGCAGTAGCCCACCAATGCTAAATCCCCGTTATCGTTTTCACCCAATCTCAAACCGTAGTTAATTGTATGAATCAGGTAGTGAACGACTCGTTTAGCCTCTATCCAATGGACAACACACGCTTCGGCTTAGGATGCTTACGCTAGTGGCAATGTCAAGGCGACTGTGTGTAGTCAAATATAACAAAGATCCAATTAGCTTGTGATATTCGATATTATCCTTGAGCTTTTTGCTATCGATCCTTATCTTGAAGTAGTTTGTATCCAGAGGGTACTTGGAACCTTTTGAGCCCTCCAAATCGAATCGTGTCACAATCTTCCTTATGAAATGGTCCAGAATTATATTGAAGAATCCGTCTGCGTCCCTCCAAATCCGCATTCCAAGGAACAGATTGATATCACCAAGCTTTGTTAACTGCTTTTCTCTTGCGAGTTCTCGATCTTGACGATTTCTGCATTCAGCTTACTGATAAAAAGAATGTCATCTACATAAATAAGAAGGTAGAGCCATTCACTATCCTTGAGACGCTTCCTGTAGAGACATGTATCCGCACTGCACTGTTTGAATTCTAGTTCTAGCAAAATCGCTGTCGCTGTCTTGTGCCACACTTTTACGGCCTGCTTGACCCAAGTAACCAAAAGTTCCGCATTTAACGATTAAAATCACTTCCAAGTTCCGTAAAGTTCAAATAAATTTCCGACCGAACCTTCAAGTTCCATAAAGTTCGAATAAAGTCCCGACAGAACTTACAAATCCCATAAAGTTTAAATAAAGTTTCGACAGAACTTTCAAGTTCCATAAAGTTCGAATAAAGTCCCCACAGAACTTTCAAGTTCCAAAAAGTTCAAATAAAGTTCCGACAGAACTTTCAAGCCACATGAAGCAATCCGCACAAGTCTTTATTAGTAAAAAAATTAATGTACGTAAATATGAAATGATCAGTGGCCCGAATAAATCATAATTCTTATATTTATGCAGTGCATCATCCCCACAGAACTTTCAAGTTCCAAAAAGTTCAAATAAAGTTCCGACAGAACTGTCAAGCCACATGAAGCAATCCGCACAAGTCTTTATTAGTAACAAAGTTTAATGTGCGTAAATATGAAATGATCAATGGCCCGACTAAATCATAATTCTTATATTTATGCAGTGCACCAACATTCTATCCAAACATAAAAAAATGAAGAGAAATTTCCTAGATCCTAACCCGTGTATTCGGCATGCGATCTACGAACGCTAGCCACTGCGCCACAAGTGTGTTGAAATACCATGCGGGCAAACACCAATTTAAAATTCATCAAGGTGTTGTGTTTCGTATTCAAGTCAGTGAGCTGGCACTGAAAACTCCAACAATAGGCGGGACAACAGCTCACTTTAATATATTTCAGATGACGCAGCGGTTCGTGCTGGGGCTCTCACGCAGAAGGACTGGGTTGAATTCTTCAAACAGCTCCAATTCTACTACTAATGCTGATAAATCAATACACATTAATACCTGCCTTAAGAAATAACTTTCATAAAAGTGCGAAATAATATAGAATTGGAGTAGAGGACAAAAACCTTTTTTAATTTATTTATTTTCTAAAAGGTCCGTTCAAGTTCCGTTCAAGTTCCGGCAGAAGCTGCTTAGAATGCTCTTCAATTATGATAGCGGAACTTCAAAGTTCTTATAATGACTTAAAAATGAGGCTGCTTAGAATTCTATAGACCACCACCAACCAAGCTGCTTAAGTCACAAATAACCTTTTATCAGAACTTTTGGTTACATGGGGAGTCCATACATTCTTTCCCAGCAGCAACAAAACTGGCAGGCTGGCGCATTTATATTGTCTCGTCAAGTGTGCCATACAGGTACGCTGTCTTTACGTCAAGATGTTTGACCTGTAGCTTCTTATGACCGGCAACAGTGAGTAAAACACGTAGTGTAGATTGGATAGCAACGGGAGAGATTTCCTCACAATTCCATCCGCAACGCTGGGAAAAAAAACCCTGAGCGACAAGCCAAGCCTTGAATCGGTCAACCCGACCGCCTGCATCCAACTTTTTCTTAAAAATCCACCTGC